GAAATATTGTCTAAAGTGTCAGTATCACAATCCATTTGTGCGAAAGAGCAACGCCTTGCGCATAATTTCATGGAGATGTCCTCGCCGTGTCATCGCTCAGGGCTCACGCGGACTATGTCTTCCCCTCCTCTTTTTTCCTGTCCAAATCAAAGCGCACGAGTTGACTTCGCGGAGATAAATTTGAAGGTAGCTGCAAGAAAATGAATGGTTAGTGGCACAAATCCTGACAGAGCAGCGGTCAAACGCCGTTAGTCACAGGTCTTAGCCCACAGGCTTTGGGATTCACCTCTTTTGGTGCATCTGACAGAAGAGCGTCTGTCCCGATAAAAGCCTCCAAGGAGAAATCCTTTTGTTCGCACTTTTTCTCGTTTTATAATATATTTGATCGGTAGGCGTTGGCCATTTTCCCCCTGCGGTTCAGCAGCAACACTTGAAAGGCTGTGCTTTGCCATAGCACATTAAACCTTATCCACGTGTGGCGCAGCATGTTCTCTGACCCAGCTCCTCACACAATGAATTTCCTATTTTTTACTCTCTGTAACTCAATGGAAGAAAATGTATGTGACCTATGAAGCCTTATTCAACCTTGTTTACCTTATTCAGTCAACCATTAGGGAAAGAAATGTTGTCTAGAATTGTTATTGCGGACATCTATCTATCGATCTATCTATCTATGAGCAGAAAAGAGAGGTTTGTAGGCAAAGTTATATAAACATTTTTATTCAGAAACTGCTAGTAAATTCCAGATAATTACAAAGAATCAGGAAGTAACACAATGGATTAAACTTGACATTTTGAAGTAGACAAACTGATAGTATTTTCATGTATATAAAGTAGTCCAAATAATCTTTGTTTTATTTAGCCTACAGCTTCAAAAAAATCATTTTTACAGCGTATCCTGCGTTAGCTTATTTGTTTATTTATTTATCAAACAAGCAATGGACATTACATGCGTAAAATACACCGTCAAATGTCTTCATCTTTAACCTTTTTGTCATTCCTACTCGATTTTATGAGTTTTCAGAGATTTTTTTTCTATTGTAATTTCAAATACAGTGGCTGAATAACGTTAGTAATTAACCCAACACTATTTTTACTTCTAAGGTTTCAGATAAAATGATTAAAATGTTTTTGGGGTTCCCCGCCCACCAATATTATATTAGTTATTTTTAGAACCTAGTTTTCCTTTAATTTATTATTTGTTGCAAGGTGTAGAATGCCTATAATAATAATAATATACATTGCGTTTGTAACGACATGACTATGATGATGATTAAATATAGAGTCCCTGTTTTTTCTTCTTCTTCCTTAAAACGCCGTTGCCTGTGGTTTGCTTGTGGTGTCTAATCCAATCCGAATTTCTTCTGTCCAATCAGCACACGCCGCCTCTAGAGTAAACGGAACTCACGTGGAGAATTTTGTTGAACTTCATTGTTAGAGCTGTCACCCATGAAAAGGCTTCTCCAGCGGTCCTCTATAAAACCCCTGGAAGAGAGAAGGACAGGCAAGAGCTCCTCATTCTGTCCTCTTGGACTCTAATCTACGCGAGCCTCTGCAGTGAGAGAGTAGCTGCACGTGAATTCCTCGCTGTCATTTTCAACAAAAAGACGGTGCAATGATGTTGCCAAGTGTTATTGCGCCACCTTCTATATACCCGAACTTTCTGCGGCCCTCGGCGGCTCTGACCTTGCATCCAACTTTACAGTCAGCGTTCACAATGCACTCGAGTTTCCTGGTGGAGGACCTGTTGCGGATCAGCAGACCTGCCACCTTCATGCACAGGAGCATCCCGTCCCAAAGTGCATCTCCTCCGGCCACAGGAGCCACAACACTGAACAACTTCTCAGCAGTCCACGTCGCCATGTCTACGTCTTTGCCAAAAAGATCAAGCTCTCCACAAACATTAATTTCAAACGATCCAAATTACTTGAAGTTTGGAGTGAATGCGATTCTCGCGTCAACAACACGAAACGGTAAGTTTCTTGAATGATTCTATAGTATCACCTTAATGCTACTGATAAAGCGTCAAAAACAGTATTCGTCTTTGTTTTGTTTAAAACACGCTCATTAAGAACTTGGCGACATTTATGTTGTAAACGTATTTTATGTCACATTCAACTTGTAGCCTACGTTTCATTTGATTAAAGTCCACTTTATTTTGTGTCATAGCTTCACCACCACCTTCAGTGCAAGGGATGAATGCGAAAACATTCCCGTTCCCATGTTTTGACGGCTCATTCCACCCATTCATCAGAGCATCATATTTCCCAGGTGGGTTCCTAAAAATCGCGGTGTCCTGTCTTAATTCGGTCTAACTGATGGGCCTTCAGAATTTGCTTCCAATTCTGGAATTTGTAGGACATTGTGGAATCAGTCTCGCTAATTTGATGCCCTATTTAGCAAACGCAGTGACTGCTGACATTTTGCACCGCTTCCCCTAATCCACAAATTAGCCGGAATTGTCATGGTCCCAATTTAAGGCGGGTCCGCTCTCACAAGCAAACTGTTGGCGTTTCTTCATCGCTGCCTTTTCCCACCGAGCCAGTGTACTTAGTTACTGATTGGCAACAATGCTTTCAGCACCATGACCAATTGGTCAGCTCCCTTTGGGCAGCCACACACAGACCCGTCGTTGACTTAAGCATGCTGCTGATAGGCATTTACCAGTCATGGACTAATTCCCCTATTAGCTTCTATTCAGTGTTTCAATATTCTCACAAGACCACATATAGTTTGGGGAGTCTTCACGGGACGTCCAAGCAAAAGTTTTGGTCTCATGTAGCAGCATGAAAATTGCGTAACATGGTGTACTAGTCTTAATTAGGCTACTGTGTTCACTAGCAATATAAATTGATTATTTAAGTTGCTTAATTTATTCTAAACAATGTAATGATTACTATAAACTATATTTGTATATCGGTTAAAGCTAAGTATACCTAAAATAAAACCAATAAAAGTGGGTCTATTTTGCCTTAAGCTTCATGTCCATCAATCCAATGAATGCAGGCTACAAATAGCCTTGTGGATCGTGCACTCATTCAGACCGACGATAATAGACTGATTCTTTTCACCGCGGTGTGAATACGTCAACAAAACAACTTGAGCAGTATGAATGGCTTTTCGTGTCCATTTAATGAAAATATTTGGGGGCAAACATAGTCCCCCGCCATCAGTATTCTCAAAATGTCCCTGGCATGCCGTTATGTTTAGTTTTTAAGTGTAAATCTCTTTTGTGGCCGTAATATATGGCTTTAGTGGCCTGTCCTAAGCCTTTTTCAGTCAGTTCATTACTACACAATTACCGTCCACGCTTCATTAGCTCCTCTATCTTTCACTGGAGCGCTCTGAATGACTGCTCGCCCTTGTTACCATACCAATGCTTTTGGGAACCAAGCAATGTGCTAATTAGTTTCCTCGATCCGTAGCCTATCACTCAAACGGATTGGTTTAAAAAATATTAAAGCCCAACTTTCATTCCATGGCCAAAGACTAGCCTACTTCCTGTTCTTAGAAAACACCCATAGCTTATTTTGAGAGAAACGTTGATTTTAATTACTCTGTTTGGTTGTTTCTCATAGCGTCGTCCTCAGCAGTGCCTATTGCCGGAACTTTCGCATGGCCACTCACGGCTCGAGGGAAGCCGAGGAGAGGAATGCTTCGACGGGCCGTCTTCTCTGACGTGCAGCGAAAAGCGTTGGAGAAGATGTTTCAGAAACAAAAGTACATCAGCAAACCAGACAGAAAGAAACTGGCGACGAAACTTGGCCTTAAAGATTCTCAGGTAAGCTGATGTTGTCCACAAACACTTTTTATATCGTACTTTTGTGGGTGTCTGAGGTAAACTGGTGTGCTCATGTCTTGCAAACTCTTTCTCGTCAGGTAAAAATTTGGTTCCAAAATCGAAGAATGAAATGGCGCAATTCCAAAGAAAGAGAGCTTCTTTCATCAGGAGGTTGCAGGGAACAAACACTGCCGACGAAAATGAACCCCAATCCTGACCTGAGCGACGTTGGAAAAAAGTTTGAAACTGACGTGGCTCTGCTAGAAAGCCCGCACGCGCCTTTCTGTCCGCCGCGCGGGGATCACGAGCTCAACGTAGATTTACATTTCACTTCGCCTTCCATCTCCAGCAATCCCTCAGACTTCTCAGAATCAGAGGACGAGGAAATAACCGTTTCATAATCATTAAGCAGATTGTGTAATTTCCAATGAATTATGTTTATGCACAAAACTGGAGAAAAACTTTAAGAAAAGTGGTCTTGTTTGACACGGTAGCTGTGTGAACTTTGATAGGAAACCTTCCAGTTGAAGAGAGAACGTTGCAGCCGCTGCGTTTTTGGCAGCTTGTATAGTGTTGTGTATGAATAATTTGTATGGAATTTTTATACCAAGATTATTATAATCTTTCTTAATGATTTGGGATACTTTGTCTATAATCTTAAATACGTAGATGGCACAATTCTAACGTAAAAGTCTTATATTTTGTATACTGATGTTTTTGTAAAAAGTGTATATACATGTGAAAAAAAATATTTTTACAAATTAAAAACCCAAAGCAAAATACCAAATTTTTCGTTTTTGTTTGTCTTCCTTGAAAATAACATTTTGTGTTATTTACATGACCCAGTATACAACAGCTGTATGATTTTTAACCAAATGGAAATCATGACATTTTTTCTTAACCTATGTATTTATATCTGAGAGCCTGGCGTTTCAACAAACTATTGCCAAAATGGATCACATTTCCTAGTAGTTCATGGTCCCCGATATTACAATGCCTGCCAATAAAGGTGAATGAAACAATGTCACTACTCGTTTACTTCCTCCTCAACTTCTGACAAAAAACAACGGTTGACAGTTTGTCACCGAATAACTGACATGACTCATATTTGGGCAGGAAAATGATCACATTTACTCCAAAAAGGGTCACATGCAATCAAGTTGAGACTGAAAAAGATCATTAAACATTAACAACTTTACATAAAACAATTCCTCTTAAAGACTACACAAACAAATAAAACATGAGGCAAATATTTACAATATAGTACAACTGAAAATATACACAAACTCAATCAAAATTCAGTCTTGTTTCTGAAATTACCAGCAATTTATAAGTAGATACTAACTGCATAAACAAAAAAAGTCATATAAACTAATTTCTTTATTTTCCACACAAATGTTTTCACCTGTAGAAGTGTTCAAAGGAAACAAATATATTGGCAGTACTTGAAGCACAGCAAATTATTTGGTGGGATCGAACAGAAAAAACAAAATTAAGAAATACTGCATAAGGTCTTCTATTAAAACAAGTTCTAGAAAATTATTTTAAAACGAACCATTGAAAAAAAAAAAAGTGTCTTTTTCTAGTTAAACAAAATGCAATCTTTCAAATAAAGCAACTCTCAGTAATCTACTTGGACTTCATGCAAATGTTTGCCACATTAGGAAGACACACTAACCCCCAATTCAGGCTAAATCACATCACACAGATCCTTGTGCCGGACCTTTTTGAATGTACAACTACCCCATGATCTTCTGTATGTATAGACCTCAATGACTGACACAATAGAACATAGGCCATCAACCCTGCTCCTGGGGACCCACTGTCCTGCAAATTTTTTCCAACCTGCTTCAGCACACCTGGCCTGTAACTTTAGAAGTTGATCCTGAAGATCTTGATTATTTGGTTCAGGGTGTGTTTGATTAGGGTTGGAGCTGAACTCTGCAGGACAGTGGGTCCCCAGGAGCAGGGTTGAAGACCTATGCAATAGAAGGTTCTTTCTCCCCTCAACAAGTATTTTTAGATAAACATACTCTCACAATGAACAAAGTTGACTCGTTGTATGCTGTACTTGTAGAATTATAAGAATCTATAAAAGTGTGGTCAGTTTTGGTTTTAAGCCTTCCTGATATCAACAGTATTGCAAGGTAATAATGCCTCTGTATTGTCTGTAATGGTTTTTATTCACTGAGATTGTTTGGTAAAACCTTTTCTGTTGTTGACTAAAGTTTTCGAGAGATTCTGTTTTGTAATCTTTGAATGTAACAATATTGCATAGAGAATATTGTACTTCATAAAGAGGCACAAACTATGCTCCTGGCACAAAATTATAGAACTTTGATAAGATAATCATATCATATTTGCTTTCAATGTTATCTAGACTTTTCCAAACATCTCTTTATGTTATGCAAGTGTGTTACCAAAACTCTGTTTTGTTGTTGAAAGGCAAACACAATATGGTTCATATTTCACTATATTTCTCTGACAGGTGAGGTCCCACAGATAGTGCATCATTCGAAGGCTATAATGTCCTTGCATTATTTGTATTTGTATAAAGTTACAAATCTTTAAGACAAGTTAGCCCGTCTCAACTTATAACAAGAGTTGTAAGGCGTTATTATAAAGTTCAGCACCAAAGTTGTTCGCTAGTACATAAAAGTCACCCAACATTAGATACTATTTAGAAAGTTTAATATATGACTGAAAATAAACATGAATTGGCAAGTTTTGAATTCAAAAGGAGTTGTTACAGCTCAACAAGGTTTGTCTCCTTTTTGAACACATTTATACCGCTATCTAGTGTCCATTTCAGGGAATGACAATCTCTGATGAATATTTAACTTTAAAACATGTTATTTTCTTGCATTTTAGGTGATGATTAGGGTGCGATGTGACTTACGGAGCAATAATGATTTTTCAGGGTTTCCAGCACCCTGTTTTGCAGGTTACCAGCACCAAGATTCATATACAAGCCGAATTTGATATTAAAAGGTCTCAGAAGAGTCCAGCATGTCATCTTGGTGACTGTTGTTGGTGGAATCACTGTCGTAGCTCTCCGTCCCTGTGCAGTGAGCGGTCTCCTTCAACCTCATTAACATATTCATCTGTGGTAATAGGAACAGGTTATTACATGGTAAACAGGAAAAAAATAAAAATAAATACAGGTGCATCTCAATAATGGTGTTGGTGTGTTTGACTGGCCAGCAAACTCACCAGACCTGAACCCCATAGAGAATCTTGTCTTCTTCTTGTCAAGAAGAAAATGAGAAACAAGAGACCAAAAAATGCAGATGAGCTGAAGGCCACTGTCAAAGAAACCTGGGCTTCCATACCACCTCAGCAGTGCCACAAACTGATCACCTCCATGCCACGCCGAATTGAGGCAGTAATTAAAGCAAAAGGAGCCCCTATCAAGTATTGAGTACATGTACAGTAAATGAACATACTTTCCAGAAGGCCAACAATTCACTAAAAATGTTTTTTTTATTGGTCTTATGAAGTATTCTAATTTGTTGAGATAGTGAATTGGTGGGTTTTTGTTAAATGTGAGCCAAAATCATCACAATTAAAAGAACCAAAGACTTAAACTACTTCAGTCTGTGTGCATTGAATAATAAATTATTATATATTATATAATATATAAATATAATACATTTTTAGATGTTATTTTACTTACACAGAAACTCATACATCAGAGATTTTAAAATAATAATAATAATAATAGAATATATATAGAGAAAAACTTTTGGTTCTTTAATATGAGCAAATATCGATTAAAACATACTTAAAACATACCAGTGGGTCTTCTTCTGATTTTCCCTGTGCAGGTTGCTTGCCTGGACTGCCCTCCTGAGATATATTGTACCCATCAAACCCTACGTCCTCTGGCCGAAGTCGCAGCAGGGAATGCCACTCATGTTGCTGTGGACTTGCCACCCAAGGGAAGCTGTCCATCACCCACTTGGCCGGATCCTCCCATGCTGCCTTACGTCCATACATCTGCAGAACACATGTACAGTTATTTGTTTATTTGCTTTAGTGTCCCAATATTGTAATGATTGTAATGCACCTTACCAGCAGCCCTTCTCTGACAGCCTCCAGCATGTAGGGGAGGATGGAGTAGTTCCACAGATCGGTGAACCACACTCTTGAGCCTTCAACATCCATTGGGCAGGATAGAAAGAGTCGAGGTCCTGTGATGGACAAAAGATGTTTTACACAAATCAATATATTAAGACAGTTTAGAAAAGTTTCATAATACAGAAAAGTGTGCTTTTACTTATATTAAACATCATTAGGAGTTGAGAAATTCTCAGGAAACCATCTGAATAATTGCGCATAACAGCATGTTTCCACACTCACCAATTGTGACATCGGAAGAACTATGTGTTTCCAGGAAGCGGTTGAGATGATGCCAAACACATGGGATCCACTCAATAATCTTAACTAGCTCGCTGTTCCTCAGACGACTGCTGATCTCAGTTTCTAGAAGCTTCCGTCGCAAGTACCGACCCAGAAAACCTTTCACTGGCTCAGTATGATTGGCACATAAAATCCACCTGAAATAAGAGACCAGGTACAAGACCAGATCTGCCTTTATCCATGTATAATAAGCTTGAGCAAAATAATGCTTGCGTGACCTCTTGTGGAGACTTGGGGTATAGCAACTAGCTAACCCCAGTTGTATATGATATAAAATAGAAAATTAATTTATTTTATAAATTATATATTTAAATTATTATACAAATTATACATATATACACACATATATATATATATATAGGTTTGAAATCACAGGAATAAATTATTTTGTAAAATATAGTAAAACAGAATATATATATTTATATATATATAGGCGGTCAAATCGATTATATATATAGCACAAAAAGGTTATTAAACAGTATAGATAAAATTCCAAGTTATACCCTAGTTATACCCCTATATTTTACATATTTTTTTTTACATTTACGTATATAATTAAGCAAAAATGGTAAATTAATAGTAATATTAAAAATATTACAAAATGATAGCAAATTGAAATCTGAATGAGATGATACCTAAAATTATGATGAAGCTGTAGATTTGGAGTGGGTGATGGAGTTTGATTCATGGTTCCAATGATGTAAGGACTGTGAGAAAATAATACAATTAAATATACATGAAGTCTACTGGGAAACAGGAAGATTTAAACAAAAAAAGAAATCTGCATTTTCAGTTTTTCATTGATATATAAACTGTTGTGTGCGTTGCTCACCACTGGTGGTTCTTGCAGTTGAGCAGGCCGTTGAAAATCTCGGCCAGTGAAGTGACGTGGTGAAGGTTATCTAGTATAAGCACCACAGGAATGTCAGCAGCATGTACATTGTTTTTACACTGGTCTGCCAGGCTGGACAAGTACTGCTTCAGCTCCTATATAAAACACATTGTGCTTTATTACTGGAAATTTGCAACATGCTGAAAGCCCACAATTTAACTAACACTGAAAATTATTAAATGAATAGGATATAAATCTGTTATTAAGTTCTGTATTATTAATTCAATCAGTTTAACTGACCTTAGTAGTTTTGTTATCAACATTGAAAGTGGCGATTGCTTGATGTTCCAGCTGTTTTCCCTCTTTTAGGACCATGTACTCGGCCAGTCTGCTGGCTAGAAAGCTTTTCCCTGTGCCAGAAGGCCCTGAAAAGATTATTCGTCTGTACTCCTCAAGCTGAGAGATGTATCGCTGCAGAACCGGCTTTGGAATGAGCGCCTCGAATGCCAAACGGTCCTCACTATTAACAGACAAGTCTGTAGATGGAGAGAGAAAGTCTCTGTCAGAGACCTGTTGTCAATGTATGCAATGGTGTGGTGTCATGTTTTCAAGACTAGTTTCTTCTACAAGAGCAATAATTGTACCTTTCAGCTTGACAGAGATAGTATCGCTTTCTCCCACAAGATAACCGCATGGCAGGAGTTCTGGTGTATCTGCATCACTGGCGCGATGGATGTCTCCAATGCTGTACTCCAACACACTGTCGGTGTTCAGACCCAGCTGTGTGATAGGATCTATGTAGATGATATATTCCTGTTGGAGTGAAAGGAACATGACATCTTGTGTTGTGAAGAAGTTTTTTCATAAGATTTCAGCTTAGAGGTGTCTAAGTATCTTGTACCTTAAAGAGACGTCTGACTACCCCATCTAGGACATCCCATCTGGTTTTTCCACTGACACCAATGCAGCCTAGCATGAACTGAGAAGGTCTGCATTCCTGCCAAAAGCAGTACAAAGAAGAGCTTGAAGTGGCACTGATGAGATCATTCTTCAATTCGAGTTTTATTTTTGCTGAGAAGTCTTGAGTTGTACCTCTTTCCACTCTGGATATTTCTCCAAACTGACCACGACCTTCACATGTTGTCCCTCTTTCCAGGAACTTCCATCTCCACTGTCTTCTAGCAACATATCTATAATCCAACGGAGAATTTCAATAATACTACTTTGAAAGAACACTACAATTCTTGAAGTTAGGAAGTCTTTTATACCTAAGCTGGTGGATTCTGTGAGGCTAAGTTGAGATGAAAGGCCCACAGAAGAAGGGGAGATGGACATCTGAGAAGGAGCTCTGCTACCGCTGCCTCGGCTCTCAATCTTTAATCGGTCATTCTCTACTTTCAGCCTCTCGATCTCGATCTGTTAGGATCAAATTAATTTTGTGACAAGTAACAAAATTGGCCTCCGCATGAAACATATTGAATATATATGTGAGTGTAATTATGTACAAGCACATTAAACATATTGTCCTATTAAAGCAGATGCTCACTTGCATGCGGTTCATGGATTCTCGTAGTTGGTCCAATTGGTGGGCAGAGCTGAGGGCTTCCAATCTGATGTCTGTAAGTTTCATTTCTTTATCACGCAGTTCACTGCGCAACTGCATGACTGTTTCGGCCTCGCTGTCTGTACACTCAGAGATCCTGTGACAAACACATGTAATATCAAACAAAAAAGCAAATAAACAAGATTAATTTAAAATGCATCAATAAAAAAACAAAAAACAAAGCAAAATTTTATTAACACAACAACAAAAAATGCATACAAAGCAAAAAAAAGTAAAATAAATAAATAAATAAAACAAGATAAAAACAACACAAAACATTTAAAAAAATACAAACAAATAAAATGATTGGGGTGTTTTGTTTTTAAGATTAGTTCATTGTTTTGTGATTTGGACAAATCATCAAATATTGATTAACCGTGAAAGTGAATTTTCCATCAATGAACTGTGGAAGTAGTGCATGAACACCTCTGAACAGAAATAGCAACAATACTAAATTATTTATGAATCAGGGCACATAGTGTTTTAAAACTGTTAATTGCTCAGAATGACTAATTTAGGAGTCATTGGTTGAACATCTGTTTGCGACATTGTGTTTAGGGAACTGATCATCTGAGATGTATTGAGATGAAAAATCTGAGATGAGAAATATTGGTATTGTTTGTGCCATTCCCTTTACCGTGCCAGTGAGGCAGACCTCATGGACTTGCTGCTACAGCCCCAGACAGGCCCGTGTGCAGGCAGGGAGGACAGTTGAGGACTATGAACATACACATATATCAACCATGAGAGAATCTCTGAGGGTGTTCCATGTTGCATCATCTATAAAGTGTTATATCCGACAGTGCCATCACATTGAGACTTACTCTGTAGCTACATAAAATTTGGGTGTGTGTAACTATTTAGTTCATAAAATGGGTGGTATTTTCCAAAAACCCTACCTAGTTCTAGACTAAATCACACTGTAAATGGAGCTTGTCTATTATAAATCTTTCTTCCATCCAAAATGAGAAGTTTCCAGAAAATCTAATATTTCAGAAAACTCCTGGTTAGCGGTGTGCTGCCTGAACCAAACCCAGCGAGACCTGGACTATTATTATTATTACTACGGAAAAATAAGAAATAATAATACGGTGATTAATAATAATAACAAATTATTATAAAAACAGGAAATAATAACTTAACTAAAATAGATACGTTTATAAACAATAATATTTATAATAATACTAATATAGAATTAAATAGTAGTAAATAATTATAATTTTTTAATGTAGCTTCTGCACACTCATTCTGAGATAAATAGGATAAGGAATTATGGGTTTAGTCTGGGTTTGTTGTAAAACTATTCTTATTACAGAAATTGTAATACTCATTATAATATAATCATGCATTCAATAAATGTATAATAATAATGAATTGTTAATATTATAGTTGTTGTTGTTGCTGATGTGAGGAGCTTACAGGGAGTTGGAGTGGGAGTTGCGTATCATGGGAGAAGAGGCCGTCGAGCTGTTATAGGGGAGTTTGGGTGAAGATGGCAGAGAAGAGTCTGTCATCTCTTCAATGTCCGAGTGAGAGGACGCCGATTTGGGAGACTTTTTCTTCCCGAATGCTTGTTTAAAGGAGCTCCGCAGCTGTGGAAGAAACAAATCTGTTACTATGAAACCTTCAACACACAGCTGTTAGTAGTTAGTTTCATTTTTTTAAGTTTATCTTTATGAATTATCCCTTTAAAATATTCCAGGAATTAAAAAATATATTTATCCCATTGTACCTCATACACCTGTACCATGGCATGAAAGCACAGGGAAAATCAGACAAAAAACATACTTCAATACAATGTAGCTAAAACACCACTCGCTCTTAACAGTTAGCAGAGTTTATAATATAATCATAAAATGTGTTTGGATCTAGTCTATGACACATTCTGAAGGAGGGAAGATCACCTGCGTGACATAAATCAGATAAATCTAGTGATGAAAAACTGGTTCTAGCTCTAAAACTGCACAACAACATCAACACTTCGACAACAAGGTTAGCATTGCATATGTAGTTATCAGGTAATTTTCCTCCACCAGACGATACAGCCTGAATGCAAGAGGACAAATGATTGTATGATATTGATGACTGATATTTATTCTACACTTTCAAGAAAAGCAAACACCTAACGCCAAGAAATATCAACCCACAATTCTACGTAAAATCCACTAAAGTACAAGTAAGACACTTTTTCTTTCATAGGTATTCACCTTTCTTCCACCACATGAAGGCTGATGACATTAAACATTAACAAATGAAAAAAATAAAAATTTAAATGGTTAAAATAAGTAAATAATCCAATAATCTAACTCTATCTAGTCTGTTTAGTCTTGGAGAGAACCATGTTTTAGGAGAAAAGAAAGTATTTTGGCATTGGATGGATGGGTTTGAACATTTACCCAGCTTTTCTTCTTCTTCTTGTTCTTAGCGTCCAGCTCCAGGTTGCTGCCAATGCTGGAGTGGCTGGTGGCGCTGGTCATGCTGGAGACGCTGTCTGATGAGGGCTGTCTGTGGATCCGCAACTCTCGCTGAGACTGAGGCGACCCGTTGACAGAGTCGAGAGAAACTGAGGAAGAGAAATAAAAATAAAAATGAAGCATAGGCAATACATGTGATGCTGTTTATTTTATTGTACTAAAGTTATTGAGATCTCACCCTTGCGGTTTGTTAATGTTGGATCTGGTGTGTTAATGACTCCATTGATCGTGGCTTGAGTCGCTGAGTTCTGCTTCTGAAGGAGTTCAATGGTCTTCCTCAAGTCATTTAGCTCTGTGTCCTGCAAAGAAGTGATATTAAACAATTTGAATGATATTTAACAATAATACATTTTAAGAGACCAAATGAGATACAATTTAAGCACTCTTTATGAAGCTTTTTCTTCGTGGGGAAATTCCAACATGGAGTGTTTTTTTAGGTTATAGTATCTTCATGAAGACTTCAGAAATTCTCATTCTCACAAAAATAATAAAACACAATCTTTCTCACACACACCTTCTGATCTGCTGTCGTCGTCAGGCTCTGCAGCCGGATGGTCATGTTTCCTAAACTCTGCTCAAAAGCCGCCACAAGATGAGCCTGGGGACAAACACAATTTCATTTACAAAGTAAATCAGATTTATTTTAATAAGCAAAATGCCAAAAATGGACAAAGCAGTAGTAGAGTTAAACCAGATGACGAGGAGTCAACTAAAATATGATCACATTTCTAGAAAAATGTGGGCTGCTGCTTGTCAGTAATGGATCCAAATATGTCTGTGAGACTGAGTTTTGTGATAAAGACAAGCTGTGGCAAGACCTCGGGTTGTTAAGCTGACATTTTTAGAGGATACAGAAGCATAAAAATAAATTGCCATTGCCAGTTTAAAGACCAATAACCTCATCTAATGTCAACAAAAACCAAGAACATAAATACCGAAATATATAAATATTTGTATATAAATAAATACAAAATACAAATGAAAAAAAAAAAAGATAAATAATACTAATACAAGTAATAAATATAATAAACTATTTTATACTCTACTTTTATTATAGCACTTTTTATATAACTGATATATGTATATATTATAATAGAATTTTCTTATTACACACACACACACACACACATATATATATATATATATATACACACACAAAGTATATATATACACACACACACACACACACACACACATAGACACATAAATATAAGCAATCACTAAAATATTTTATAGATCTATATAATAGATATGGGTAACAAAAGCATATTCATAATATTTTTATATTAAATAATACTAACAATTAATATCACACACACACACACACACACACAACGCACATATATATCTAAATATAATATAATATTACTTTGGACTGCAAGTGAGAGAGATTGTGATAATATTACACAATATACACAAAACAGATTAAACTCAAGAGTCCAAACAAAATCCTCAAACCAAGCAGCATCCCAAACTCCCTCAGGGTAAAATCATACTAAACAACCAGCTCTAAAAAGTCAAACAGAGCAGTCAGTCCAAGATCTTCAGCCAACCTCAGTGAGTTCTCGCTTGCTCCATTTACTCTGGTTCTTTGAGCTGCTGCCGTGGCTCTTGCTACTGCTGAGAGGCTTTGGTTTAGACCTCTCACAGACCCTCCTCAAAGATGGGTAATGATTCCGACTCCGAGGATGCCAGATAACTGCTCGACTGGGGTTAGCCTTGCCTGTCAACATCTTGAGGTGATGAACTGTGTACGTACTGAGACACCGAGGACGATGTGCACCTTAGATTTCTGTTAAGTTGTAGCTGCCAAAAATGAGCAACCACACTCGTACACAACACAACAAGCATATCACATGCAACATGAGCCGATAATCAAGGGACTGGAGATCTGGATGACTTCTATCAGAGGGAGTCAGAGGTTTGTGTTTGGGCATGTGCTGTTTCAAACATCAGATAACCTTCAATATAGTGTCCTCAAAGGGTTTTCGTCCAAGCAGAATAGCAGTCGGTGCATTTGTGTGTGTGCAAAACGCTTTAACAAATACCCAGAAGGGCAAAAGCCTCTAGTTTTGTTTGTGAAGCCTGCATGAGAGCTGACAGATGGATAGGGGTTTTAGGATGTGACGATTCATTAGGTTGTGTAGGCCAAATGCGGGCTGTCATATCTGTTGTTATTGAGCAAATAATTCCACTTAAAGGTGCATCTCTCTCGCATACACACACACACACACGCAAACACACACAATTACACACCGTCTTACTCAATATGATGCAGGCAGCTGGAAAAATTTCAAAACACTAGAACAAAGGCTAAATCACTGTTTTACCAGCTGATAAAGACGTACAAATGTTAAGACAACAGCTACTAACCACATATTTGTAGAGATGAGTACCGAAACTCGGTATTTAATCGGTCCCGGGGCTAAATTATGAAAGACCGGAGTATCGATAAGCTCTGACGTTAACGGTTCTGCTATCGGTACTGGAGAAATTAATAAAACACACATACATTTATTATTGCTATATATACATTATCTTGCAAATTCAATCTCATCAGAGTCGCCAGCTGTTTTTCAAACATTTTTCTATGATGCATTTTTGCTATTCGCAATTCAGAAGCGAGATTGCGCTCACGCGGAGGAGCTTCAGCACGTGCAACATGAAAGCCCTGTTTAATTATGATAGAAGAGAGAACTAAACATTCAAACATCTGCTTACACTTTAGGCCTGTGGCTGTTTTATTAAGCTAATTTTATTTTTTTTTATTTCGATTTTGGCTTCTAAGGATTATACAAAAGAAGACATGAGGTAAAGCTATTAAAAACGAGCTGATTTTCGTATTGTGCAACTTCTTTCCCTTCACAGTGGTGCGCATTCGTTCCTCCCTAAAACCCAAACTTAACATCAGCATCAGCTCAATCGGTGATTGTTGTAAGATGCCGTCTTTACTGTTGCTAAATTGCGGGACATGTTTGATAATAAAACGTTGAAAGCACAATCCGCACAAGAGACGCTGTTCTTCAGGCTGAAATGTGTGCTTTTTGTTATTTGTGTAAGACAATAAGCAGTATTGATAAGAGTAGTAATACCGTTAAAACCTTAACGATACCCATCCCTACATATTTGGTGACCCCATAATTTCCGAAGTCAACCATTTAAAAATTACCAATTGACCAATGAGCACTGATGTTAATATATCTAGGTAACATTTTTAGCAGATATTTATGGAAGCCTGTTTATGGCCTTTTTTAGCTAAATAAATAAAAGGTAATTGTGATTTTAATCAACTGAATTAATAAAAAATAAAACAACATTTATAATTGTGTATTTATACATTTAAAATATTTAAGTTGTAATCTTTTTGTTATTATAACTTCATCTCTATGTTGTGACCTTTTTAAAATTAAAAAAATAATTAAAAAATGTTTTTGAATTGCAAATGTATATATTCCAGATGATTTTTATAAATAAAATATTATTAAATGTTTTATATTATTATATTATTAAATTCGTAATACTATATTATATTATACCATGTGTAATTTTTCATTTCAATATATATATATCTCATAGAATGACTTTTCAAAAAATAAATAAAAAAACAAATACAAATATGGTACCACTTCACAATAAGGTTATATTTGTTATATTTGTTTTGACTGAATCACTTCTACTTCTGCTGCACGAGATTAGAACACATTTTTTATCATTTTCTGAGTCATGAAGAAGTCTACTTTTGTGACACTAACAATGCGTTCCTGTCACGTAACACACATGCGCACTTCAATAAGCCGACAGAAAGCGGGTTATTGCGTTTACATGCCGTGCGAAATCGGAGTAAGAGGCAAAAAACTACCTATCGGTTTATGCTTACGCCGTTTATGACCTTACACCGATAAAAGAAAACGGGTTACCGCGTTTACATGACCAAGTGCGTTTTCGGCTTAAGCATAATCGGCTTAAGAACGTGCATGTAAACGTGCTCATTAATAGATACAGCTATTGATTTTTCTAATGTATTAGTAAATGTTGGAATAAACATTAACTAAGATTAATAAACGCTTTAGAAGTATTTTTCCTTGTAAGTTTGTTAACTAATGAAGTTAGCTAATGTTAACAAATGGAACCTTATTGTAAATTGTTACTATATATATATATATATTGCTCAAAAGCTATGCTATGCAGATTTTGAATTGAATATGAATGAAAACTAGTTGAAAGAAAGAAGCAATTCAGTGTTTATTGCAGGTGTATTGTGGGTAATTGTCCAGTGTACTCACATTGGCACTGAGCTGTGTTGTGAGAGCTGAGACCTTCTCCTGCGACGCATCCAATTCCCTCCTCAGCTTACGGATCTAAACACGCATTCAATTCAGTTATTCAAACACAAGTCATGCTGCTAAAAGCTGACTTCTGATGCTAATGTGAGACCAGTTTGTGGTTTCTCGTATAATAATGTGCTGAGGAGAGACTAGAACCTTGATCAGCATGAAAGGGAAACTATGGTAGCAGACATAAAACACAAAGACTAAAGAGTAGATATCAAGAACATTTACCACGAAGACTGTCATGACAAACACAGACATTTTCAAAGGTTCAGGAGAGTTACATCAAAGTGTTTAAAATTACAAACCAGCTGAGAAAAACAGTGTTTTGGACAGTCTACAGGCTCCCATGTGCAACACAGTCAATAATTTACATTATAAGAAATGAGGGATGCTGTTCTCACCTCCATCTGAGCCTTTTCCTCAGGCTAGAGATAGAAAAAGAAGAAAAGACAAAGATTAATGGTTTGGAATTAAGTTTTTTGAGCATCTGTGTAAAGAAAGCTACTTAAGAGCAAGAGAAGTCTTCAAGTAGATTTTTACCTTTACCTGATAAACGTTCAGTTTAAACAATGGTTAATTTCTCCTATCTGTAATGCGATTACTCATTATTTCTCATTAAGTCTGACATTTATGACCGTAAAGCGTACTTGATTTTAACAGTGAAAATTCTACACACTTCTTTAAGTTTTTACAGCTAACTTGTATGTTTGTAAAACTAACAAAAGAATCACAAGACGGCCCGAACATATGAAAGAACCATTGAACTTTAACATTTAGCATCAATTCAATCGTTTGACTCACCGTAGAGTAAACTGACGATGTGCTAGAGACTAGAGACAAAGATGAGCCATGAGCTGTAGAAAGAAGAAAAATACAGTCAAAATAACTTCAATCAAAACCCAAAAATTTTTTTGTATTGCAGTAGCACGTGAGCCATTGAAAAACTAGCATGAAAAAGTAGAAGGATAAACTAGCATAAGCTGAAACACCACGAAGTGCTTATCACCTTCAAATGGGCTATTGTTAAGTAAACAATACCTTTATGGCCAGAATATTTCTGATAAGTTATATGTTCAAGTGTGTTTTTTCTTGATATCGGTTATTGCCAAACCAAAAACCCTAGCAAAAACAAAAGGCAACAAAAGTGTGCCAAAATAAATATACTATGAAATCATTTGTGGATAAAAAGGTATTCAACTTGCCATTATGATAACAAGTTTTTAAATCTCCTTCATCAGACTGCATATTTGAAAAGAATTATGAGTGTGTTCCTCTCATTGTATTTTCAAAATGAAAAAATAACTATGTCAAGTGGTGCTTAAACTAAACTGCTTTTGAGGTTGCAAAAAGGGATCAGTCTTTATGACTAATCTTTATGCCAAGGAACAAACGGTTTCTTCACGGTCCAAAGATATTGCTTAAGGGGGAGTTTTAACCCCAGACAAAAAGCCTAGACAAGAATGACTGTTTTTAAATAAAAGCTGTTAAAGCTAATTTTTCTATTTTCTTTGATGCATAGAAAGTTTAAAAGAGCAGCATTTATTTGAAATCTTTAGTAACATTGTCTTAACTTTTTTTGTCACTGTCTTTACTGTCACTTTTTATCAAAGTAATGCACCCTTGCCGAACAAATATTAATTACAAAAATAAATCTTACTGACCTCAAATTTTTTAATAGTATACCTAATAGTATTTTTAGTTGTAATTATTTTTTTAATTAGCAAAAAAGCTAATTAAATCACTTCGATAAATTGTAAAAACATCAAATTATGTAGTACAATAATCTAAATATAAAATCTTAATATAAATGTATGCATTAATGTCTCAATTTTAACAGACTACCATGGTATTTATTAAAATACCTTGGAATACCATGTAAATGTCATGGTACATGAATATAGTAATCATACAATACCATGGTATATCAAAGTACCATAATACCAACATTGTACCATGGTGCCACCACAGTGCTTTTAAAGGTCTGCAGTGCACATTCATTTCAACAAATACTAATTTATTTAACGGTAATTCCTCTCTGAGCCAACCTTTTCCTTTTTAAGCCAATAACAAACAGACTTTGGGCAAAATTAACCCTTAAAAAACTGCACAAAATTGAGGACATGCATCATTGCGAACAGCAACTGTTGTTCTTTTAACAAGCCTGAACACCACTGGCTAAGTTCACTGGCACATTGAAATCAACACACCATCACTACCTTACAAAGACATTAATCATAAACGCAGAAAGCAAAAGAGCCTTGGGACAAGTGGTATTGAGCCAATGCAGGCGAGTTAATCATCAAATCAACATTAACTGTGGGGTAAAGGCTGCCAGGCCAACAAAGCCGCTCTTTGTTTGTTTATGTTTTTGGCGCAAGCAAGGACGCAAGTTGCAGCCTGACGTTGTCAAAAGCCCTAACATTAATGACAACCTATCATTTAGTTATTAGCTAACAGAACAATGCAGGTCTATTTGCTATTTTCCAAAAACATGACATTATGGATTAAGCGGTGATAGTAAATTCTGTCAGCAGACAGAAATTACACATTCGTATGATACTAGCTCGTAGTCTTCTAATACAAAATCGCACACATTCACAAACGTTTATTTTGATCCATCAAAATCATTCTGAAGTCTCACCTTCCTCCAGGCCCACACGGAACGATCCGGAGCTACTCATAGTGCGGCTCTTTTCCTCCAGGCTCATCGAGGGATTCCTCAGACGTGGGTCGCATGGGTTGTCGTGATTGTCCTGACCATTGGTGCCGCGCAAAGTTGCTATCTGAGAAGCTGTGCAGGGACTGCCTGGATTGTCAACACAGGGATCAAGGTTAAAAAAGCACTACGATTGAACCTAATGACATGAACGTGCATTCAAAGTTCACAATAAGGGGGAGACTAGTAGATATTTTAATTAAAGTTTTCAATAAAATTGACAATTCTAACCTAAAACTTAAACTTAAATTAAAACACAATTTGAGCTGCATTAAGTCTGCTGCTAGTATTGGGTAATAATCCAACAGATTATCTAAAATAATATTTTACCCTTAATCAAGTTCTGGGTGATACCGATATATCGGTAATTCTTTTTTAATAATATAATTATTAAAAAATAATATAAATATAATTTGATAAATTATTATTTAAATCTTATCAAAATGAACCGATAAGATTTCATATATACAGTGGGGAAAAAAAGTATTTAGTCAGCCACCAATTGTGCAAGTTCTCCCACTTAAAAAGATGAGAGGCCTGTAATTTTCATCATAGGTATACCTCAACTATGAGAGACAAAATGAGAAAAAAAAAATTCCAGAAAATCACATTGTAGGATTTTTAAAGAATTTATTTGCAAATTATGGTGGAAAATAAGTATTTGGTCAATAACAAAATGTCATCTCAATACTTTGTTATATACCCTTTGTTGGCAATGACAGAGGTCAAACGTTTTCTGTAAGTCTTCACAAGTTTTCACACACTGTTGCTGGTATTTTGGCCCATTCCTCCATGCAGATCTCCTCTAGAGCAGTAATGTTTTGGGGCTGTCGCTGGGCAACACGGATTTTCAACTCCCTCCAAAGATTTTCTATGGGGTTGAGATCTGGAGACTGGCTAGGCCACTCCAGGACTTTGAAATTCTTCTTACGAAGCCTCTCCTTCGTTGCCCGGGCGGTGTGTTTGGGATCATTGTCATGCTGAAAGACCCAGCCAC